GATTTCTAAATTTCGAGGTCAGTAATTTGCTGCTGGCATGCAATTGTAATAAAGAGATCCATGAATAGTCGGCATCTGAGAGCGATCGATGTGAGTGACAGCGCTTACATTTAGCGCACTACATTCTAGGAGAGGGGTAAGGTGTGCTCATGCATCGAAGCCTTTCTATAATTATTTCTCCTTCAGCCTGGCAACACACGGACTAATGCATCAAAAATTCAAGTTAATATAATGTTGTTCGGTTCAGTTATTCGTTTTTCGTTTTTCGGTTTGTTCGGCTTCAGTTATTCATTATTCTATCGCAGCACAGTCGCTTTGAAGTATCATACTTTGATATATGCCCGTCTATACGTTGAAGACGCAGTCATGATGTCATATTCTCACTGAAAACATTAACGTCGAACGAGGCAATCGGGCGGTGGCGATATTGAGTGGGAAGTGACACATATCTGGTAACACAATTCTAGTCGTCCTACTTTGATGAACGTTCTCTTGCATTTATTTATATGTGATTAACATCCTTCGTTTGCAGTTGTTAGCTGTTGTTGTTGCTGTTCAATCAACGAGCGTCTGATTTCGTACTTACGTAAGAATTATTGGCAAGCTCGCCCTCGCCCGCGCAGAAATTGGCGGTTTTATAAGTTATCGACCGGCTGGGCCATTGACGTCACAGCTTCCATTCATGCCTGCCCGAGCAGTGATTCAGTTGGCATGGTTCTCTCTTCGATCATATTTGCTCTGGTGTGCCTGATATTGGAAGTAGTGTGAAGACGGCGTTGATAGACAGTGTGCTGCTAATCCCTTCATCCCGGTGCTGTGCAGCGAGCGTACTTGTTCGTGCTGGCCAATGCTAGGCAGTGTGCCGATACTTACCCATCAGTGGTGCTCGCTGTGCTAGCCTCGTCCCTGCTTCTTAGCACTTGGCAGTGTACTAGTCTTCGCGTATCGGTTCTGTGCATCGTGCTAGTCGCTATACGTCTAGGTGCTAGATAGGCTAACTCAACATCTCAGCACGGGCCAGTGTGTGTTGGTCTTTGCATCCTGGCCGTGTAATCATGAAATGGTGTTGCATTGCCTAGTGCACCTGCAGGTAAGCCGCGGGGTCGGTTGTGTGATATGCGTGAACTTGTCTGAATGTATTGTTATCTGTTACAAGACCCTAGCTTTCACTAGGGTCATCGCCGAAAATTTCACTGCTCTGTTCGAGCTTAAACTGACTAAGTGACTGCCCACCAAAATGTGTTGAATCTTACCGTCGACTGTATAGCCTGCCAGGATTATAATCTTTTGTTTTCTAAATTTTAAGGTTTTACATTTACGGATCGTAGTTACTGGTTGTGCATTCATTCGTGGGCCATAATTTATAAAATGTCATTTTTATTTACACCTCATTTTTCACGAGAGCTCTCGCAGTTGTGCGCATTCACTGAGCGTTCATTACATATTTACATTCCACTGTTTGCACAAACGTGCTATTATTCATGATGTAGATAGAGAGACTTCCATAGACAAATGTGGCGAATTTGTGTGAATTGACAGAAATTGTAAACTTGTAATGTTTGTTGTCAGAACAGAAATTTCGATGCACTGTCGCTGACCAATGATTTCTTTGATCGGTGGGAACACGTTACAAGTATAGGCCTACAAGAGACAACGAACATTACATGTTTACCATTTCTGTTCTGGCGAAGTTTTGAACATTTACCGTTAGGTGCCGAATTTCAGTGTTACGTGGTCAGAAGCAGGGAAAAGGTTAGCGTATAAAAAATCGCCACATTTGTTGATTGAAGGCTATTGAAACCAAGAATAGCATCATGCAGATTGTTAAAATTTATAGGACACAGTTTATTGGTCTATCCATGGTGCTACCTCCATGGTCCTAGATGTTCTCATTACCACGCGTTTGTCTTGTTTTGTCTTATTGTTGTTGTACGTGGAAACCAATTTAAAAGTCGTATTTGCTGGATGCATGATTTAGACCAAACAACATAAGCATTTCCTGTCCAGCTTGTACACAGGATGTATTGCCTGTATTGTATGCATGTATTGTCACCCAATTATCATACAAGCATTTTGTCAAAATAGCAAGTGCTGACCCTTAGTAGTGGGGCGATTCATCGATATATCACGATATAAACCTTGACGACACACGTATCAATACGTGTGACCATGCATTCACGATACGCCTATCTATACTTTACGGAATATAATCCATATCATGTAGTAGCGTATTTTCATCCAACAGCAAAAGAAACTTAACACAATTAGTAGTTCAGTAGTAGTTGTTTAGTAGTAGTTGTCTGGTATCGTGGACCACTTAGTATACTAAGTGGTCCACGATGCCGATGTGTAATTAAGCGTTTACATGATGGATGATATAGATGGAGTCCATGATAACTGTATAGTTTTTTGATATTTCGGGGTTATTATATGGCATTCTCTTCCATAATGCTTTATTATATTTGTTATATTTTATATTTTATTATGTTTTTTTTTCCGAACCGTGTATTATATATCGCTTTGAATCACCAACAAGCACGTACGCTGCGACTGTTTCGAGGTTCCACGAGGCAATCGTTTTACTTTTTTGCTTGTTTCTGTTATTATATTTAACCGTTTTTCAGATTGTACATCGTACATACGTGGCCGTATTTTATCGGTATGATGTAGGAAGAGGTTTGCACCTACCCTTAGTGGTGTTGGCGTTTGTCTGAACAGTCAAGTCCGATCGCTGTTTCAATGTATTTTACGCACGTTGGCGCGCAGGATACACTGACGTAATACACGGCAGATGTTTTAACTGCACGAGCGCGCACCTGTCAGGCTTGCGCCAGCCTGCTTCTTCTGTTGCCCTTTATTAGTTGTTGTTTTTGTAGATATTTTTCAGCTAAATCGTTTTATTTCAGGCTGTGGTCGTCACTATTTTGTGTACTGTAACAATTTCGGATGTTTGCTTCCATTTCATTGCTTCGCTTCCTGCAGCATTTCTTGTTGCCGTATGTCTGTTATTGTACAATCATGTGTTCAAATTTGATCTCGAACTTGAATCAACTGCGGCTCTTGAAACCGAATGCGCACATCGAATGAGCTTTTCGTCGAGTTGGCCCGATTTCACATAAGTGGTTATTCTATAATGAACAATAGATTGCACTCTGTAGTGATGTGAACCAGCACACTGGGCAGTACGAAACTGGGAAACCGTCTATATATTATTTACAGCTCTTTCGATGGTTTAATGTGGTATCGGAGTATATCCGATCCAATTCGGATATTTAATATTTGTTCACTCTGCGATGTCGCTGACAGTATGTAGGTAGCAATCTGCAGCCATCAGTTGGCTGCTATGTCTGCCTCTATGTATATAGGCACGCTAACATTGTGCGTGGGAGTTGTTAATCGACATCCCTGAGGCCGTATTTCGATTTCGTAGGATAAATAGGTCTTTTGTTGTTAAATTTTCAAATTTTGTAGCTAATAATAAAGGCATATTCTATTCGCAGGCTGCCGCTGGTTCGCTCTTAATTTACCACTGATTTATACTTTATTGAAATACACAGCCCAAAAGAACTCATTATCGTAGCTAGAGCTGCGTGCACGCAATATTTTAGACTGTATCTTGGCTATTGTGTTGCTTTGCCAGTTGTCACACAACTGCAGTGACGTTGCATGGGCATAATTGCACATTGCATATCAGGTAGTGATAAAGGCACAGAAAAGCATGCATTAATTACCTCCATTGCATAAACTAGCCTATAGTTTAGAGAAGCTGCGTGAACTCATGAATGGATCATTGGTTGCGTCAGGCATATATCTACACAAGTAAGAATGGACATGTTGATAATTGCGTCTGATTTAGGCCAGATTTAGCAATAAAACTCTGGCCTCTGGACACTGGGGAGATGGAGACTCTACATTTCACAGTGGATGTCATGAGAATTATGAATAGAACACAATGTAGCTGTTGATACCATTCTTTTGTCATTTGGAACTCGAAAATGTTATTACTTATGTTTATAAATGCACAGACGTGCATATAAGTATTAAGATTAGTACGCAAAAATATTTCCTTGTATTTGTTATTTTATTGTATATTTATTATCTAATTATCGTTGAATTTATAATGTACTGTGTCATATAGGCATGGGCATTATTCATATGCTAATATAACATTGGATAAATGTGTTGGTGCCGAGTTGCATGATTCCAGTGAAGCTTATAACTATAGACTAAGCATAAGACTATTTTCTTCCTTTGACTTCTTATAGGTAACATCAAAAGATAATAATACCTATTGGTATTACCTCTTATAGGTATTATGAGCTATTGGCAGCACCAGGAGTGAATAAAAACAAAAATGTGTTTTTATTCACTTCTAATAGCATGGAATACCACCAATAGTTGTGTTGAAGTTATAGGCAGCGGATCAGCATAGACTGGTAGTGGCAAAGGGGCCCAGTCGCTAAGTGTCACGTGCCATGTTAATGGCCTACGAGTGGATATAGAGAGAGCACTACAGTTATGAACCAAACTGACATGAAAGAGGCTTGCTGAATTATTTAGGTAGTGTACGGCAGCAGGCCAGTCAGTATCGAGAAGTCGAGGCCTGTGCCCTATCCACTGCCACAGAGAACTAAAAGCCTAGATAAAATTATAGTGGTTTGGTCAGTCAAGATAGATACGTGAGAATGAGTGGTGTGTCGGCGCATACTGGCTCCTTCTTTGGATTTGTTCAGCACTCTCGTAGTCTGACTGTCTACAACGTCAGTGAAGCAGCTGTTAATGCGTATGAAGGAGCTAGTTTATAGTCGATTGACCCGAGTTTTAGCCTATGCTTGAGAAATATGTGCCGGGTTATAGTTTTATTTCCTACGAATTTGTGAATTTAATGACGTTTGAATTTGTGAATTTTATGACAATAATTATGTCTTGTTAACGCTTCAGCTTTATAATAGTGCTATATTCGGCAAGCAATTGGTTCATGACTCACTTCATTATTTCAGAGGCAGAGAAAGCCAATTTGTTCAACATGACGGGAGGTAAAGTACAGATTCTGGAGGCAGGCTATGGCAAGGACAGGGTGAGTATACAGCAAATTTGAAAAACCTTGTTTTATCAAATTAAACACTCCAACACTTTCGTGCTTGCTCAGCCAGTAGAGGTGTAATCATATGTCAATATTATTGTATGTGGAACATAATATAGTAATTGCTAGTATCTGGACATATATAATTATTTATCGACAAGATTTTACAGTGTGGTCGAAAGTGTGATGTGGAGCTCAGAATGGGTATATACAAAAGATGAGTTGAGCCAGTAGAGTATTGTCGTGCATGTTGACTGATATATCATGAATGCAAGGCGGTTTGTGTCCAATGACTGATCAGAACATATCAAGAGCGTATAAAGAAGACCTTTTTTATACGCTCTTGAACATATTATGTAGCACCCATGCTGGCAGTGCTATAATCTCCCTCATAGAATTCCAGGAGCCGATTGATCCAAGCGCTTATATATATCCATCAATTTTAGACTCCATCAATTTTATATTAAAAAATGTTGTCGACAATTGAATTTTAAGTTGTAATTTTTCATGCATGCCAATTAGTTTTGTGCCATAACTTATACTGTCAGATTTACAACAAACCTTGGCAGGCGAGTTAAAAGTCTCGACGAGTGAAATTATTCATAAAACATACGTTTAATTAAAAGTGAGTAGATGCATCATTAATTCATTAATGCGCGTGCACGTATTCGCGGGTCCAGGTCTGCACAGGTATTGACTCGCGAATGTGCGCACACATGATGCAGCTAGCATGTGCTGTCCGACCATCCTTCCACCTGTCTGCTTCTAAGTGTGATAGAATCTGATCAGTCAGTAAAAGGTGTATCATCACATGAGATATTTTGAATTGATGTTTTTTTTATCACTTATATCAATTCTCATTAGATTTGACACATTCTGAATTTTCATTTTCTGTGTTTACATGTTTAAGTACTACGCGAAGGTGTGCGCATTTTCCTTAGGTAGGGGAGAATAAGGCCAATGCCCAAATTCTATCCAGAGTGATTTTTGTTTATAACTATGTTTCAGCCTTGCATGTCAGTCTTGCCTATACTGGATAACAAAATCGATTCGTGGGCACTTTAACTTTGCGCGGCGACTATGTTGAAAACAACTTTAAGATGTTTTGGCCGAGTGCGCTGGTGCGTTGCTGAACACTGGTATTATGCGGGCATGGCTTTGCAATCATCACTCACACACGCTGAGTGCTGCATGCAGAAGCTCATTACAGAGTCTCCGCTGTCGTGTGTTGTTCACGTGTAGTGCGTGCGGTCGGCGCTGCGATGCTGCGGCTAGCCTGGCTGACACGGCTGCATGATCGCTATACTGATTTCTCACGTGTTTCGCATGCACGTTCGCGCTATCGTATTGTGTCAGGCGTGTGATTGATGCCATTGAAAATGTTCGCCAGAAATGAGTAGTAAATGCATGTCGCGGATTTCTATCTAAAACCTTAAAGCGGAAGGAAGTCCTACAGCCGATATGTCGTAATTGTAATCAGTCGGCAATTTATTTTACCGCGCAATGTAATTGGGCGGTGTTGTAATTTTCCAATCAGTAGTACGGAAGTTTCATTAGCCTACTCGTGCACTATGGAGATACAGAATATTTAAGTAGCCGCCAACGTGGCAGCTAGTTGTATTCTATTTTAGTGAGTTCTGGTCACATATTTCTGTCAAAGCGTCAGGTTGCAATAATACAAGCACGTACAGCATGTAGATTCTTCTACTAATATTATCAGGAGTATAGATAATAGGGTTACTATATATCTATCTATACCTATTATCTACTCCTGATATTATCGAAGTAACGTTGGGGTAGGTGAAACCTCTTTCACCATGGCAACAGGAGAAGAGATTTCCTATAGCCTTCCATCTAATGGGGATTGAAAGCGAGAGGGTTCTCTAACCATATAGGCAGTATGAGATTTGGTGTTGACTTAGTGCAGTTGATGCAGTGCCGGTAGGTGCTCTGGTGTCTACTGACTCGTTTCAAATGTCGCTGCAAATGTGCTGGTTATACTTAAGGTGCTGACGTGTGTTTGACAACTCTGTCTAGTTCACTCGAAATAGTGCTGGGATTTCTGAAAGACACGATTAGGCTTTCAACCATAGCGCGTAGCAATGAATCAATGAGCATGCTATGAGCAGAAAGGCACGCAAGGTATTCTGATTTGTTCACATCCGTTCATGTGCTAATGCAGTATAAGGCTAGCAATAAGAAGTGAGAAAGGTTAACAGTTGGAAGATAACGGTGGGAACGAGGGGACGAGTGAGGGATAGAGGCGGGAGACGGAAAGCGAGAGAGAGAGAGAGAGAGAGAGAGAGAGAGAGAGAGAGAGAGAGAGAGAGAGAGAGAGAGAGCGATGAGCGAGGAGGCCGGTACGGTAGCGGTATGCGGTAGCGCTGAGAGCAGAGAGATGAGAGAGAGAGAATGAGAGAGAAGAGAGAGAGATGGGAGGGATGGGAGGGAAGGGAGGGAGGGAGGCGAGGGAAGGGAGAGTAGAGGGAGATGAGATGTGGAATGGGAAGAGAGAGAGAGAGAGATGAGAGAGAGAGATGAGTATTAGTCGTGAAGTAATGCGTGTTTGTGGAGATCATGGCGTAGTATAGACTATTCTTTAATTAATTATTCATGACGTCTGTAGTCATCGCATCGATAATACGAGGCTATATCTAAGGCTTTTGTAAAACAATTGGCAAGTCTCAGTGCCAATGTCATGCCAAGGGGATTGTACACGCACGTTACTACGCGGTTACAGCGCAGTGTACACCGGATATACATACCGCACGTACACGCCAGGTACACGCACGGTACACGCAGATAACACGCACGTACCTGTGCAGATACCGTGATGCAATCAGTACGGCGCGGTACTATCGGAGATACACGCTACGTACATCGCGGGTGCACGCATCGTAACATCGCTGGGTGCACTCGCAATCAGTACACTGCACGTAGCATCGGCACGTACACGCAGGTAAGCACGCACTGTACATATGGAACACGCTACCGTTAACATCGCTAGAGTACATTCCGCACGTACAATTTATCCCGCAGATACAGCACGTATAACACGCGGGTGACACTGAGATAACCACGCCACTACACGCGGGTGCACGCACGTCACACGCACGTAACACGCACGTACACCGCATCCGATACACGCCACGATACCACGTACACGCAGATATCACGGAGATAGCAGCACGTGACACGTCGGGTACACACGTACACGCACGGTACAGCGCGGATACACACCACGTACACGTACACGCAGAATAGCACGCAACGATACACGCAGATACACGTCACGTATCACGCGGGTAATCGGAGATACACGGCACGTACACGCGGTACACGCACGTAGCACGCACAGTGTATGCGTGCGACGTGCCGTGTATTCTCCCGGTGTAAGCCGCGTTGTACGTGCGTGTATCTGCGTGTACGTGCGTGTACGTGCGTTACCCACGTGTACGTGGCGTGGTATCTCCGTGAAGCGTGGTACGCGTTTATCTGACGTGTACCTCGTTGTGACGTGTAACGTGCGTGTATCTGCGTTTGTACGGTGCGTGTACTGCGCGTGTACTTGGCGTGTACGTGCGTGTATCTACATAGTACGCCCGCGTGTATCGTGTCGTGTATTCTGCGTTGCATTGCGTGTACCCGCGTGTACGTGGCGTGTACGTGCGTGTACCTCGTGTACGGCAATGGTCCTCACGTACGTGCGTGTACCCGCGTGAGCGTGGCCTGTAACTGCGTGTAGCCGCGCGTGTACGTGCGTGTATCTCCGTGTACGTTGCGTAGTAATCGTGCGTAGCATCGTGCGGTGGTACCCCACGTAAATACTTGCGTGTAGATCTCCGTGTACGTGTATTGGCGTGTATCTGCGTGGTACGTGCTGTACCGGCGTGGTGATCCGCGCGTGATACGTGCGTGTAGTCTCTGTGGTACCCCCGCGTGTACGTGGGCGTGTTATCGTGCCGTGTACTGTACTGCGTGTATCTGCGTGTACTGTGGTGTATCTGCGTGTACGGTGCGTGTACCCGCGTGTAACGTGCGTGTATCTGCGTGCACGTGCGGTGTACCCGCGCGTACGGTGCGTGACCCGATGTGTACTGTGCGTGTACTGCCAGTGTACGTGCGTGTGCCTGCGTGTACGTGCGTGTAACCCCGCGTGTAAGCGTCGTGTATCTCCGGTACCCGCTGTACGTGGCGTGTGCGTGTACGTGCGTGTACCCGCGTGTACGTGCGTGTATCTCCGTGTACCCCCGTGTACGTGCTTGTATCTGCGTGTGCGTGTACGTGCGTGTACCCGCGTGTACGTGCGTGTACCCCCTCTGTGCGTGCCTGCCTGAGCAGCCATTGTTTACAAAATTGCCTATAGCTTAGCCTCGTTTTCGTGCGTGACCCCAGGTCATGAATAATAATTAAGAATGGTCTATAGTAAACCAAATACAAGCCGGGAAATATATCTTCCGTCAGGGAAGTGAGACTCAGAGGCATCAATGGAAGTTTTAAGCACTGCCATAAAATCTAAATTGTAAGGCACAACAACATTCAAACCAGTACTAGTAGTAATTATTATATTGTTGTTCTCTAAATGGCATTTTTACAAGAATCAACAAAAATATATTATTGTGATGCAGATTTCCTCAAAACGATGGATTCATCTAACCTCTTGTATTCAGCACCATACTGATCACACAGTTGTTTTAACGCGCCTCGTGTGATAGCAATTAAATCTTGATTAAATGTGAATGTTGTCGCAGAATTACCTGTGATCATTAATAAGCTGTGATTATTGAATGGCCGTTGATCGATCGTTGATTGACCGGTGATCGTTGATTGACCGATGATCATTAAATGACCAGTGATCATTGAATCACAGGTGATTGTTGAATGATCTTTGGTAATTGAATGGCTAGTGGCCATTGTCATCATTAAAAGTGACTGGTGGTCATTAAACGACCGTTTATCATCAAATAACTGGTGGTCATTGAGTCAGCCGTCAT